TGCTGCTTTAAATGCACGATTCACACTGATGTCCAGGGGTTGCAAACACGTTGTTGTACCTCCAGGAATAACAGCAGGAATTGAGTTTGTTTTCTCGATGGCTGCTTTCACCGAATCCGTGATGTGGGCCCGCATACTGTCCAATATCGTGTCTGTCGAAGATCCGTCGTGTCGTGTCTGCTACTAGTTAAAACAAAATGGCGCTACACCTCTGGCTAAGCTAGCAGTATGGTCGCTCAGCTGTCGACCGGTCGACGCGCCGTCACGTGATTGTTCGGCGTTTGTTTTCGCACTCACCTTTCATAGTTCCCTCAAGAAACCCAGAGCCCAGCTGCTGGGAAAGCCCTCCTGCTCCAGCATACGTCACTGCATGGGATTCCTTCCCCAGGGAGTGCAATGCCAAAAAAAAATTTAGCGGCTCTTCACTCGACGTTTATCCACAAACTGGTCCTGGATTAAGCTCCAAAGTTTTTATCAGTCAAATTCCACCGTGAAAAATGTCTGTTTTATCCCCTTTTATGAGTTTTTGGCCATTGACTATCTTTAAATTGCTGCTTCCTGGTACAACAGTCGGCTCTGAAAGCGATCGCTTTTTTCTTTTTTCTTTTTTTTCTTTTTTTGAAGCGAGTGGTTGAAGCAAATGGAGCATAAGAGCCCCCTGGTGGCTGAAGAAAAAAAATTCATGTATAAGCCGCACCGGACTATAAGCCGCATGGTTCAAAGTTCAGGAAAAAAGTTGCAGCTTATAGTCCGAAAAAAATACGGTAACTGTCTTACATAATTCAAGTAGTCACCTCCTTTTTCTGCTGGAGTAATTGTGTAATATGAAACTGAAAGAAATCATCATGGACCAGTTAAAAAAGTTGTTGTCAGGTAACAGAAAACAGGTACAATATTCTTTAGTCAAAAGCTTTTCACACACAAAAAATACTTTAAACTATTTAAAGTTTCTCATTAACGTCTTGCCATTTTATACAAACCTTATGGTTTTTTTTATGTAGCAGGCATCAAACTGCAGATTTTTGTGTGTTTTCTCAGTGATCTTGCTCAGTTAGAACACTGAAAACAGTTTATGTATTGAAACATTTGTGTGTTGTGTGAATGCTGAGTCAATGTTCAAACTATTTTGTTTCGGCTTAGGGTTTTTAGTACTAAAAACTTAACGTGAATCTGACTACTTCGTATGTAAGCTAGCCTTTTGCTATATTAGGTTTTAGCTAGGATTTTGCTACTAAACTCTTGTATGTTTTTTTTTTTTTTTTTTTGCAACTTATGGCTTTTAGCAAAGCATTTGCTGCTTTTAGTTAGCATTTTGTTACTTTTGGTTTAAGATTGCGAGCTAGCTCTTTGCTAGCTTTTGCTTATAATTATCCCTTTGCTATATTACCTTTTAGTTAGTCATTAGCTACTTTAGATTTTAGGTACATTTTGCTAATTTAACTTTTGGCTAGTCCTTTGCTACTTTAAGCTTCTACTGCAACCCATTCTCACTCTCAACTCGTCAACATGTTGACACTTGGTCAGATGGCATCAGCGTCCAGTTTTGGACGTGTCGGGTACCCCCCTCGTGTCAGTTTTTAACAAGAGGAGACGGAAGAGGACGAGCGTGTTGTCATATTTTTGAAAAGAGTAGAAAATGCGCGACAACTAACCAGACCCTAAATTTTACTTCTATTAGCCCTAAACAGCCAATCTCTGACCCCAGTGCCTAAAATTAACCATTAACCCTGATCCCTCACATTAACCACAGACCCCCATCACAAAGACCCCTATGTGACGCAACCTGGAAAAGCCGCGGGCAGCAATGACTGACGTGAGGGGGGTACCCGACGCATCAAAACTGGCCGCGGACGGTACCTGACTAAGCATCAATATGTTGACGAGTCGGAGTGAGAACGTGTTGTCTACTGAAGTCTTTGCTGCTTTTAGTTTTGAGCTAGCATCTTCCTGCTTTTGGTTTGTTGCTAACATTTTGCTCCTTTTGACTTTTGGCTAACATTCTGTTTAAAATAGTTTTAAGAACAGTTTCCTTCAGACAAATGTCAGCTCTCATTCAGCATTCACACTAAGGTCGTATTCAGACCTGATAATTTGCTCCGCTTTAAACGAACCAGAGTTTGTTTCCAGCGTTGGTCCGGACCTTTTGTGCAGGTAGGAATACACTCATGCGAACTCCGGTGCGGATCAAACAACCGGACCGAGACCTGCATTTTGAGGTGGTCTCGGTCCGCTTCCAAATGAACTCTGGTGCGGTTCGCTTCAGTTTGCTTCTGGTGTGAATACAGACCGGACTCTAACCGAACCAACTGCATTAAACATGCACCTTTTTGGACTTCACAGGCCACCGTTGCTGAGCTAAATAAACTGAAAACATACCTGTTTCATCGTCTCCTGTTAGCAGCTCTGGTGCCAGCATGTTGTGGGTCAGAACACGCAGAGCACCTCGTCTCCTTTGGGTTGCGGGACACATTTACTGACGCCGCTCCAAAATTAGAATATCATCACAGAACCACCGTTAAATTAGCTGCTTCTGACATTTTAAATGCTATTTAAATGCTATCAGCAAAAATGTGCGCATCAGAACCGCAGCATGCAGGACTTCCTTGTTTTCTTCTGGGTCTGTGGCTCAGTCCCGCCCCCGTCCTTTTATGTCCAATGGGAGCAATGATCATCAGCCTAATGGCTTTGTTTACAACTTATAGTTCATTTGCAAAAAAGCACAATGTGAATGCAAACTGCACCAAACAAAAAAAAAAACAAGTCCATTTTTGGTCCGGACCAAACAATTGGACCAAAGGACTTTCCTGGTCTGAATACACCCTAAATGTTTCTCTGGTCAGGTTTTTATTCTTTCAAATTAAGCTGAGTGTTTTTTGTGTGCACGTCTGCTGCTCTTTTTAAGTGTGTGTGTGGGGGGGGGGGGGGGGGGGGTCACTTTTTTCTCAGATAATCTCAGAAATTTATCCCACCCCTCCCCCACGTCTCTCCTTGTTTCTTCCTCCTTTTTCCATCACCCTTCTCATCTGATCTCTCCCTCTTCCTCCATAGATCTGACGGACATGTGGTACGATGGCCGGGGCCACATCCAGCACCTGGACAGGCTGGCTAACGCGAGGAGTGTCAGCCCCACCAACGAGATGGTCTCCCACGAGTCCGTGGACTACAGAACAACCCTGCTGGAGGGTACGCTTAGCTAATTCTCCCCTCCCCCACTCCACCTGACTCCCTGTTGTCCCACACTTCCCTTCCATCGACCTGTTCAGCTTTATGTTACCAGTAAGGATGACTCTCAGCTACCACCACACTAAAATCTGTGAAACTGAAAGACATATCCATCATTATGTTTGCTAAGAATGACATTCTGTGTGGTCTTCTGAAGTCAGGTGAACTCCAAAATATAAAACAGCTCTTTATTTCTGTTATGTCCAGTGATTCATTTGATATTTTGCTAAAACACAAACAGATATGATTTTATATTTAAATATATATAATTGTATATCTGTCATTGGTTTGAAGTAAAACTCATTCCCAGTATTTGTATTTCAGTTCAGGTTTGATCTGTTTGACCCTGAACTAAAACACTTGTTGGGGGTTTAGAAGCAGACTTTTCAAACTGTAATCTTTGGAGTCTGGTCTGGGTTTTGTTCCGTTGGGTCCTGAGGGCCTCAGAGAGGCTCCTTGTACTCTGATCCTGGGGATGATGGAGAAGTGATTTTCCTGCTGGTTTAACATCTGAGAAGGTCGACTTACTAATGAGCTAACGCTCGCCTTCGGGCAGGGCACATTTGGTTTTTAGGATATCTGACCTTGTTCTGTCTGTTTGATTGTTTCTGCTCTGGAGTTTCTGACTTTCTTCCCTCCAACAAGAAAAAAAAAGAAAAATCACACACTTCTTCTTCCCAGCCTGGGTTCAGATTTCTTTGTGCTTTTGTAGCTGTCCCTCTCTGATCATGTAACACACCCTGACCTCTGGAGGCCCCGCTGATACAGTGGCTGACCTCTGACCCCTCCCGTCGCTTTCTCTCCTCCACAGATCAGGGCGCCGACAGACCCGAGACGTGCCGGGCTGCTCCTCCGGTCTATGGAGACGACGGGGAGCTGCTGTCCCCCAGACTGGGGGCGCTGAGAGCTGGGATGGGTCTGGAAGGTGATTTGGTGTCACCGCTCCTGGTGGCCCCGGTCCACATCGACCCGTCCTGTCTTCACCCGGACCTGCTGACAGAGGTGCAGCACGTGGTGATCGCCAGGGAGCAGCTGCTGCTCCACCTCAACCAGGTCATCGGCAGAGGTCAGTCACCGGTCCGACACCTCCAGGGTTCTTCTACATTATCTACAGAGACAGTATGAAACCTGTCACCACTCAGCTTAACCCATATGATCAACATCTTCAATATTTTTTATGTCCCAAACTATAATTATATTGTAATTATTATATTAATATATAATTATATAATTAGAAAAAGTAAGGATGGCATACTGGTACTTTACTAGCCTCTACTATCGCCGTAGATGTTTCCTCTGCTTGATGCCAATGATTTTATTCTTCTCAAACAAAATAACATTTTCTCCATGAAATGAGAAGCATCTAGTTGCACCAGTTGAGGTTAAATAACTTGTTGCTAAAAGATAATCAGTCATGCAGTAATTATCCAATAGGAGGCTGGTACCTCTTTGTTAAATCTGGGTGGTGACTTTTCTTTGGTCAGGCAGTGTATGAACCAAAGTTTATTTATTTATTCATTTCATATAAAAATAAAAATTTTATGCACATTAAAGAAAAAAATCAACTTGAAATGAAAGGAGGCAGAAAGACGAAAAAAATCATATAGTATCTACCCCTTTTTTCCGAAATTATTTTCAAACAATAATAATCAAAAAATAAAACAAATTAAAAACTTCAATTCCTTTTCAAACAACAACTTTTGATATACATTTATGCAGTTTCATATTTCTTTAACAAACTTATTTTAATCATTCTTTTAAATAAACACAGTGAACCAACATTTTTATAATCACTTTCCAGATTATTCCACAGTCTTATTCCTTGAACTGAAGTGCATCGATGCTTCAAATTTGTTCGAATTTTAGGTTTTATAAACATCTCAAGCCCCTTAAGATTATATAAACTTTCTCTCTTAAAATATAACTGAATGTTTAAAGGTAAATTGTTTTTATGAGCCTTATACATAATCTGCAAGATATTATAATCAACCAACTCATAAAATTTTCCATCCATCCATCCATCCATCCATCCATCCATTTTCTTCCGCCTATCCGGGGTCGGGTCGCGGGGGCAGCAGCTTCAGAAGGGAGGCCCAGAC